ATTTCAGATGATAAAGTGTGGTTGATTTGAGCGTGGTCGAATGATATTAGGGCAGGCTCGGCCGAGAAAGAGGGACTAGTGGTCCAAGACGATATATCCACTGCCCATATTTTCGTGATTTCGATCTCCCATTTTCCATCATAAATAATCGGTTGTCGTATTTTGGATCCAATTTGGCTGCAACTTTCTCGAGAAGTTTCGAAGGATTACTCAGAAGACGCCGTATGATTTAGTCGATCGAAAAACGAAGTCGCGATTTGGACGAAAGAGTACGGGAGGTCCATTGAGCCGCTTAGTATCATAGAGCTTGTGTAGCTAGCATGAGTTCCAATAGATAGACAAAGTAGAGACTGAGGTATAACTGTTAAGTATCAAGTCATTGCTGGGAGATAGCCGGGTTCTTATGCGATTTCGAGATTGCAGATCTTGATGTTCAGCTTGTAGGGTTAGGAGAAGCGATTCGCGTCATTACTGTCGCGGTAAGGCCATGATACCACTAAAATCTCACCTGCCATATTAATCCCTAGTGTCTGTAAGTTCAATTTATTCATTCGCAAAATTCGAACAGCGCTAGTAGAAAGTTTAATTTCTAGGCCAACAGGGACCAGGGGTTCGGAGACATTCAAAGCTCTAATTATTCGCTGATTGATATGTTCATAACACAAAGTTTGAGGATTTAGCTGGAAGATCCAGCGTTTGGATCAACTGAGACTTGGAAGATTATCCTATCAGACCCACCTAACTCAGCTTAAGTCCGAGTCATTTTCAGCATTAGTGTTTTCATCTGGTATAAGGCAGGGTCGTCGAGAAGGTGTATGACTGAGAAAATTAGCAAAGCGTATTTTCCCCTAAGTTTGGGAGAGTATTTCAGGCTTGGAAGAATACAGCCTTTCAACCGAGGTAACCGAGGTTACACAGAGTGGGCTTCGATTAAGTTTGAGATTAAGTTGGCAGGTTTTGTGGAGTAGGCCACAAATCCCCGAGGAAGATAAGAGTGTGAATCCCTTTTTTAACGTTTACCAAGTCTTATTCACCCGGTATCTTAAATAATTAGTTTCAGCCCTATAGACATGATGGGGAGCGAGCAGATTCACATCGTATACGATACTTTAATGGGTTTTTAGAGAAACAAAAAATCAATTCAAGTGCACACAGTACGGCTTCAGTGGGAAACCCCACAATAAAAACTTCAGATAAATATTTGGACTTGATCTATGACGAAGCCCGAGCCCATAGTCCAGGCAAGATCCTCCAACTTTTGAAGTTCTCATGCCATCTTGAGCATTTAAATTCATAATAAAAGAGTTTCAACACCCCCCCCCCCCCCCACAACATTATCTCTTTTAAACTCACCACATCATTGCCCCTTTTACAACCTCAATTGATATTACAAATTCATACATATCGCCATCGCTCAAGTCTAAACAGTGCTAACCGCAATCCCATCTCCAACAGCTAACATTTATATTCTTCTTAATGAAAGAACCACTCTATTCCCCTGCTAATTCAACTACCATCAATCCCCTTCCAAGAAAGCCAGTACTTATCCCCAGTCTATCTCTCGGCACTTTTTAGGATTACGACCTGATCCAGTGACCAAGTTTCAGAGTAAAGGGTTGCAAAGGAACTGGGTTCCACTTGGAATTGTTGGACTGATGCAAGCTCATTTTATATTTATTAGGTATTCAAAGACTGTCAGTATTACTTGGCTCCAACAGTAATTCCAGCACTTCATTATATTCAGGTCTGAGTGCCTTTGACATTACTAGCTTCAGCATGATTTCTAATATTCTATTATATTGCATGCATCACTGGCAAATTGCTCTCGTGCCCCTCAAACATCATGCGATTACTCTTATACACTAACAATCATTCTTGAATTACTTTGATGCCCTCTAGATTCTATATAGATTCAGAATCTATCTCAAATTATAGATTCTAACCTATAATAATTAAGATCAAAATAAAAATTCGATTTTTCGCTTCAGGGGGAAAATAACATTATGTTTGTAGAAACTATCCTCCTATTTTAGAATCCATCATAGAATCTAAGGGGTATAAAAGTAAATTGTCTTTCAATTTTAGGGTATGAGAATAATTTGCCGCATTATAAATTAGCACTTCTGAGAACTTCTGGCTTGAAGATTGGCCAGTTCTTGAGCTTTCGGTAATTTTAACATCAACAATGGTTCGATTGTGTCTGTATGAGCTGCATATTGCATATTATGATATGACAGTAGCATCGGCACTTTAAAGCCTCATTATCAGGCCCATAACTTGTTCTGTTACGTATCTGAGGGATTCAACAGCTTCATCAAGAGCACTGTCAATGCTGGCCTCCCCGAAAAGACGCGCAGTTGTATACATCTTGTAATATGCCAATCGCTCTATCAACTCAAAACGAAATAATCACACGATCTTTCACTACAGACCACATATATTTATGCCCAAAAAAAGTAGCGTGGCAGAAGTATTAAGGTGGAAGGAATAAGAGCAGCATGAACCGTAAAGTTTAAAATGAATAACTCAAGAACAAACGCCAACAAGTGGATCGTGTCCTTAAACTTTTCAAGGGTTGAGGGTAAATGAACATCCTCTGTCCACGATCCCCTTGATGCCAAAACAGATGATTCACAGAAGAGAAATTCTTAGGTGCTGAGGTGGATACGATGTGATCATATATTGGGGATCAGCATTGATAAACAGGATTGAAGACCTTCTTATGTAGTCTCAACTATCATGTCAGATTGCGGGACAGTGAGACGGTACTTTTCCAATACTTAAACATATATTCCATCACTGTATAGCCAGTTCTTATCACCATACGCTCGTGTGATGTCCTAGAGACGAGAGAAAAGTATGGAATGCTGAAAAGACCTGCTCAAAGATTTCTTCTCCCAAGCTTATCAATTGCCAGTTCGAAAAATTCGCAACATCCCAAAGACACCCCCCCCCCTGTATGCACTGCCAGCGTCTGTCGTTGCACGAATGGCCCACAGCACCGTAAATCATCTCTGGCGATAGCTTAGCTTTTCGTGATAAGGGAATGTGTCAGACTGGCTTTGCTAGAAATTGTGGAGGTGGTGTAGTAGGTGGGGGGTAGGGCTTAGATATGTGGATAATAGAGTAAGGTAGTTGATATAGAAGTAAGTGACACTTCCCCTCGAGACGATGCTCATGTCCAGACTACCCTCTTTCCTCCCCACTTCATTCTGGCCTCACGACTACCTTTTGAAACAACTATGGCGTTGGCCAGTTGTCGCTAGAGAAAGCTGTTTTGCCTGCCTTGTGATATGAACAGTAGTCAACCTCCAAGCAGGCGAAACAGGAACCTGAGTTTGAGCTTGCGTATGCTCATGACAACAACAGCAATCATAACGTGGCCATTTAAAATGAAAAATACCATCTCCCTCACCCTTACTGGACAGGACAATGAAAAACGTCAATATCATGCCATAATCTGACAACACTCAAACCCCCTTCAATACCTCCTGGAAAGCTTCGCAGGGTTCACTTGCGCTTTGAAAAAAGTACATGATCAGATGACGCAATGATAGGCAGCTCGAAAAACTTCAATAAATTAACTGTCCAGTACAAACGCCCAGTGATTAAAGAAAGACGGTGAAGACCGCGCGAACACCTTGAGGTAACATCGTTCCACCGCATACATAAACCCCAACATGTCCTGATCAGAATTACCCTTTTCAATCACCCACTGACTTTTCTCTTTTCCGGATTGAATACGATAGGTAGCACTCGGTTGTAGCATTGTCCCGCATGCATGCATATGGAAAACTTTGGAAATGTTGAAATACTAGGTATGTACCAAGCATGTAGGTATGACATATGTACTCGGTGTGCGTGCCATGCAAGCAAGATTCTGATCACTAACACCATCTACTGTAGAAAGATGTGTACTACATTATCGGACCAATCTTTAGCAGATTTCAACATGATAAATCGACCATAGGGTTACATTTAAATTTCTTTGCGATAATATAACGGCATAAATCTGTAATAAAGATAGACATAAAACGACGTATCATTACTGTACTGACAGCGAACGATGGGGTGCCGAGGGTGCTTAGGTATGTTAGACAAGTTAATCGAACAGACCTTTCGATATCTGTTTGTGGATTTAACTTTACGGTTTGACCCATTGGTTTGAGGGGTAATGGGAATAGTGGATGGATATCCCACTTTTACACAGACAAGCTTCAAAAGTGGGAGTGGACACTTAACGTGACATTGTCCACTTTGAGAGACATATACGATCGCAAAACAACTAGAGTGGTCTATTCAGGCTATGCATTCAGCTCACGCCTAGAGATGCGGGATTGTTGGTCGAAAATCTAACGAGTGGTCGCACAGTCCAAGGACCCTTGAGCCAAGAAATCATAGGACGCGGGGATACCTCCGTAAAAAAGAGCGCGAATCTAAGACACCCATCTTTCGGTCTCCAGAATATGATTAAGTGCGAAATCGAAAAGTTGAGAAAGACATGGCTGACGAATTATTCCTGTGGAAATTACAGCAGGGTTACATCTCACTAGGTAGACGGGATGACGCTTATCCTGATTCTAAACCCATGTCTATGCAGCTACCAGGTATAAAGCTACCAGGTATAAATCTATAGCTAGAAGCAAGGAAGATCATTTCGGTTTCTCGTTGCCAAATTTCATAAAATTAGATGATAAAAACTAAACAATATTTTCTTTAAATCTATGCTTGGATGCTTGGATGCTTGAGTGCTTCGATGCTTCCGGCTCTACGCCATCTAGTCATGCGAAAGTGCAGATGCCCAAGATCTGCCTTGTTGTTTCCCATTTCTGAACTGTGTGCGTGCGTGTTCTGTTTCCCCATGCTTGCGCCTATGCTAGGCAAATGCAATGCCAGTATATCGTACATATGCGTAATTCGACAATTGAAGAGATTATCGACAACAAATTCCATTCGAACTCTCCAACTGCATAGCTTTCTCATCTATACCAACATCTGTTTCAAGGTGTTTTGGCTCTATTCTGGGCATTAGCATCCTGAACATATTTCTCTCCGCTTAGCCTGAACTGTTCTGCCGGTTGCTCTCGTGTCATCACAATACCGTCCTGGCTTCCCACCTCCGCAAACCTCGAAGAATCCCCATTCTCCCTGATGGTACTTGCTGAATGCGGCCATGCTAGGACCCCAGCTGGAGGCCCTGTGTAAGAAGGTGCTGAATTGGGCCTTCCATCATCTGCAGCATTTCCTCCTCCGCCCCTGGTATTCGCATGATGATGATGAAAAAGATTTGCAAAATTTTGTTTTCTTCGCCTTTCTTCCTTCTTTCGAGCTTTCTTTTCATCTCTCAACTGTAGCTCTTCAGCGGAAAGATCTTGTTCACCGTTTACCTGTTCATAGTTCAGATGTTTGATAACCTTGTAGAAGCCCGCTGCGAGAACTGCCCCCATGAAAGGTCCTAACCCTGTACGAAAAAGTTAGTTCGGTAAAGAGAGGAGATCATCTGTGAGTAGTGTAATAGTGCGCCAAATAGATTCACGCAGCTAGGGTAAGGACCCAGCAGTGTACATGAAACCGGCGCAGAACTAAGCCGTGAATGAGAAAACCCACAGTAAATCCAATGATAACCCCTAAATCCTCCGATAACTTCTGCGCCAAATGCTCTAGCTGGATTCAAAGCACCACCTGTCCAAGCAACGCCCATCAACTCCGCAACAAAGAGCGAGAGTCCTATCCCCACAGGTGCCACGAAGGTGACTTTAGTTTTCTCGGCTGCTAACATGAGAATGGTAAACACTAGCTCGATAGTGAAGAACATCTCAAGGAAGAGTCCTTGGGCAATGGAAGTACCGGACGCCAGTGCACAACTAAAGAGTACAGCGTCTCCTGGAAGAAGGCCTCGAACCGCGGCGGCAGCAGTGATAGAGGCAAGAACCTGGGCTATGAATATGAAAATAGATCTAGATGTTTGACATAAGTGAGTGTGTGATCGTCTAAAGCTTGCTAATGAACATATGGTACAAGATAGGTGGATCAATCAACACTGCCACCAGGATTCTAGACGAGAGGACCCCTAAATCGTTGATGTTTAGTCAGGAACTTACCTGACAGGACCCACCACACCTACAAGGCAAAGAGCTAATGTGACCTGCATATATCAGTTAGTAAGATTCCTCCACCAAAGTAGTAAAATCGGCTCCATCAAGGACCCGAATTCCAGAAAACTCTATGCTCGGGCCTATTGCTGATACTCGGTGGCAATGTTGCATAGAACTGTGGAACTGGATGTCCAGACCAAAGTGGATATACATACAGCCGGGTTAAAAAGCCCTCCACTAACACGAAAGAAGATCCAGACGTTGACGGTGAGACTGAAGCCGAAAATCAAAGCAATGTAAAGCAATTGATTTATATCAGGACTTGCAACTATCGATGCGTTTCCTTGAGATGTCTGATTGGCGGTTTGTGTTCCGCCATAAGCGAAAAAGAGGAAGAGAAATGTTCCGACGAATTCGCCCAGGAAAGCGACGAAATGATTTTTTAGACCACCATTAACTTCGTTATTGGCAGCCATCTTGAGGCCCGTAAATCTTGCTTGTGGGTAATTGAGATGAAATGTAATACTGGAGCAAATGGGAGCGAAACAATTTCTGGGGTTTTAGGACTGAAGATTTAAGAATTTGGAAAGCAGAAAGGGAAATGATTGAAGATGTCACCAGAAATTCAAAAAGTACTAGCAAGAAACCTGATTTATTATTCACTTGTAGAGAACAATGACATGTATACTTTCACTTTGACTTAATGTACGCTGGTTACAAAGTTAAAAATGTGCTTTGAACTTGATGCAACAGAGGCTGGAAATCGAGATATCTGCTCAGAAGGAAAAATGTTTGCGAGAGAGGAGAAGAAAGGACGTGAGCAACAAAACTTTGTTGCTTTTCTGTCTATTTCCCACGAACTCCATATTAACTCCCATATCACTATAATACAGTCCTACGGCGATCTCATCCGTCAGTGGATTGATAACGGAAGCGGACGATGTGAGAAATGGTATCGACTTCAAAGCGATTAAAAAGATAATCGCGATCCCTTCGAAAAACACGATTTTAAGTCGATTTGTTTTTGGTATTTCCTAGGCCCATACCTTGTGCTGGGTCCGGCGATTGCAATGTGTGGAATTTGCTCATGATACTAACCAGCAATTTGAAATGATGCGTAGCCCAAGACCCTTTCGAAAGCTAAATACAGTAGCGTTCAAGAACCAAGAGAAAAGGAACGTAGATTTCCAAATCTTCAGCGTGATTGGGAATTACCCGATTAGGTTATGAAACCCCGAAGTTGAATTGAACAAGCACGATGAGGAATAGTCTTCATGCGAGCATGGAACTCATACGCAACCAGTATTTTGGTAAAGCGTTTTTATTGATTGGAAGAAAGTAGACATTATAAGTTCAATAAAGGCTAAATGAAAATTAGAGAGCCTGTCTCGCCTAATTTTATTAAACTTGTCCAATAACAGCTAAATGATCAGAATTACTAGTTATAGCTTCGAGGATAATTAATCAATACCTATCTAAATACTAAACACTTTGCAATTTACAGCTATAATTATTGGGAAGAAAGAAAAAACAAGTAGAAACTAACAATCAGTGAAAATTAATGGCCTGAGCTTTGCTTTTTCAGATGATAGGCCGAGCTCCTTGTAGGCTTGGAATTCCTAACCGATATTATGAATTCCAAAATTAACTCTGGAATTGGAGCATTAATTGTAGTCATAGGGCTCAATGGCCATTCTCTTCAGCTGATTGGGGGTTAAGTATGAAGAATTGCCCGTTCGAGAACGAAAGTGAGGTTGGGGTATGAGCATCTAATTGAATAGTCCAGCCAATTGTACACTGTGCATGCTTTCGTCAAGCTCGGGAAGAACGACCCTCAGTAACGGGGAGAAAAATACCTTGACAACGGAAAGAGTTCGTCGATGTGGCATACCTTTTACGGCCCTGTTGTACTACATCTGTTACCCAACTTTCAATTTGACACCCGTGAGTATACCAATGTCATTGTATCAGTTCCGATAGAGCCACAAAAGTTAGATATTTTATGAAACGTCTTCACTTCACGCCTTGCCACATGGCTAGTGGGCATTAAAACATGCGAGTTTCTGGAGGAAGTTCTGAGCACGTTTCTTGGACTTTCACAATTCACCTAGTATTAGATACACATCAATTAAAAAAAGGGGATATGAAGTTATCATATAAAGCCCCATTCGTATCCCGTAGTGACTTGGAAAACGAGATTACGTAAATGATGACTTGGAAGAGATATTGACTAATTGTAGATCTTGATATCTTCAGATTTCTGCACTAAATACCAAGCACGCTCGAGGCACATTAAGTCCCCCTCCCCGCAGCATTATAGAGAGAGTCGATCCTACTATGTTTCGTAACAAGAAAAGATAAGCTGGTGAAGATCATGAGATTCATGAGAGTCCTTTTGGAACAAAAGCAGAAAATATCTATTCTTTTGCACAAGGTGGTCATTATAATTGGCGAGGAAAGAGCGGAAGTGTCTCCGTCGTAAAAAGCTTTGGAAAATAATCTTCACCCTGTCTTGACCCTGTTAACCAATGTAAGGCACAACCGCATATGTTGTGCGACAGTAGTTGCTTAGCCGGGTATCACTGAGTATTCGGGATTCGGACCCTATTGAACTCGTAAACATTGATACGCATCGGTATTTTGTGGCTTGAACTTGCATCGGCCTCATACATCTTCGGAGGTTCATACGTACTGTGTACCAATCTAATCCAAGATAGATGGCCCCCAGAAGAAAGATAAACCTTATTTTGAAGAGGAGGGACCCTTCCAGCCCTCCTCAACCAATCATTCTCTTGGTGAGGCAAAACGTCGGCAAAAGAAAAGATACATGTACAATGATGACAAAATGGCATGGATTCTTCAACCCGCCACTTACAACTCTAGAATCTCTTGTAGGGTTGATGAAAACATTGCGAGAATTTTGTGCAAGAGAATTCTAGACTAATCCATAGTCAGAAAGAAGGTAATCGGTGATAAAGAATCATTTTTTATTTGTTTGGAGTGTTCACCGCAACAGAACTAGACGCTAGGTACATAACACCCCTCTTCGAAAGATCTACAAAATCGAAAACTTACCCACTTACCTACTTTGTCAATCAATCCACCAACACTTTACCTATACGAGCAATCAAGAAAACACCCCCCCTGATCCTTGGGATATCCGATGTATAATGCGGATTTTAGAGAAACCAAACTAGTACCGTTCTTTTGAGAGACCATGAATTGACATGGAACTAATTTTCATCTAGCTTCAATTATCAAGACTATTTCTGTACCAAAGCAACTGCAGACTGAATGTAAATGTGTATATATTCGAAAAGCTCTCTCGCACTTACCGAAAATCTTCCCCCTTCCGATCTTTCCTACTACATCCGTTCTCCCAATTTTGCTTTTCTACTGCTAGACAAACTTATAAAACTATTCTTGGGCCCCCTCATTTACAACTATACATATGTGATCCATCCGCCCCGCAACTCTACCAGGGAAATTATCCAGACTCTCAGAGCTCGAGTGTCAATATATTGGCTCCATCTTCGTCGGGGATTTTAAGCACGAACCATTTCGCGATACCCTTCTTCGAAATCCAAAACTCAGAAGCACCTTCCTTATATATACACTTGTACATCTCATCATTTTGGTTCGAGACCGAGATACATAAGTGCACGACTGGGGAAAGTACTTGGGGTACATTTATATTTGTGGACCATTATCTTCTACATCCTACCACATCTTTCAGTCTTCCAATATATCTACCATCTCTTATACAACAAAAGTAGCCTTATCCAATACCAAAGCCAATATGAAGGAAGATAGATCTTCACCCTCCGTTGTCACCAAATCGGAATTCAAGACAATGAATGGAGTAACTAAAGCTCAATGTATGTAAACATTTTCATGAATCAGTTCAATCCGTCCTCAATCACCTCATATCTAACATAAATCATTAGCTACTAAGAGCCGAAGAAGCGTAGCAAACATGAACGAGACTGCTCTAGCGAAGAAGAGAGAAAATGACCGCAACGCTCAAAGAAACATCAGAGAGAAGGCAAGGAAGGAAAAGACTGAAATGGAACAGAAAATCCAAAAGCTAGAGAGCCAGCAAAGAGGTTTCGATGAGTTGGTAAAACGGAACGAGAAGCTGAGAGCGTTATTATTAAAGCATGATATCGATCCTGATACGGAAGAAGTACTCTCACCTCGCCAAACACAACCCCTAGAGAACATTGCACCAGAAAAGCGAAGTCTAGGGTCATCACAAGGCTTCCCTGCTGAAGGTATGTTGGAAGGAATGGAAATGGATCGCTCTACAACCGGATACCAATTTCCCATCGTTTCTCAGCCAAGTTTACAACAAGCACCTGGACTTCTACCTATATACAACCCAATGGAATCAAATCAACTTCTAGATTCCCCTGAGCTCACAGGGTCTCCCGCATCATTATATTCGCATCATTCGGCATCTCGAACCGGTTCACCACAAAACACAGGAGCCGTCTCACCACCATATCCAAGTCATCAATCCATGACTCCTCTGCAACATATGTCTCAACCCATGTATCCTCTCTCGATGCCTATTCAATCCATGGGATCTATTCCACAAATGTCGCCACCTCATGATATATCACTCCAGCAAAATCCTGGGTTCCAAAACACATATACACAAGACTGGACGTTTCCTGGGTCAGCTGGTCCAATCTGGGACCAAACCGTCGCATTCAGACCTATGTCGACTTACGCTGTACCTATGACTATGGGTATGTCATAGCTTTCGAATCGCAAGAAACAATCCGTTGACGAGCACTATCCTTAGAAAGAAAAGATTCATCGACGGTACAGAATGCACACTCTCAGGAAACACACAGTGAAGGAAGGCGTTAGGAATGGGATCTGGGATTTTTTTAAAATACATGTGGACGTACAGCGGCATTGACGGAGTTACATGTGTTAAATTGGCTGCTTTATACCCAGTTCTAGGATACACAACAGGACTAGATTTGTTTTGATTGTGTGCTTTTTTTCTTTCCCTTTTTTTTCTATTTGGACATTGCAGTTTGCAGGTACCAGGGTCACAACATGGAGTGGAAGGGTAGGGCAGACTTAGATTCCTCATTGAATTTGGATCGTCTTCATTTGTACATTTATTTAGTTTTCTAGAGATAAATACATATCTTCTCTATTTTTGAAATTTTATCATTTACTTGACGGGAATGGTGATATCTTGACAATGAAACTCCCCCTGGTACCAATACATGACAAACCGTTCCGTTTTAACATTAAATTACCCCGCCAATCTTCACAAGACATCCAAAGGGCCTTGGTCATTTTCCAAACAACATCAACTCAGTCACTACACACAAATGAGATATTCAATACAGCAAACACCTTACTCATTCAATATAGCGGCCTCTGAAAATTTCAATTGTCTATCAAACCCCGATCACACCATATCACATCAGACTCCGGTGGAAACATTCGGAAGAGCCAAATTTACCCCTCCAACGAAAAGATCTGCAATCCGAAGTATAACCACCCTATCTAAACAGAATTCTTGAGACTTAGTAGGTGTTAGACTACCAAGGGATCGGTACAATGTGCTAAATCACACTACTATTGGATTGCAGAGGGTTAGGGCTGGCGTAGGCTTGATGCGATATCTGTGCGGAATGTTCCCAATCGCGTGGGTAAACTAACATTGAAACCGGGTTCTCGAAATTCAACTGTGTTTACATTTTTGGAGGCGACAAATGCCCAGGTATGAATCGCCATCTCTCTCCTTCTGCATACCAGTACACCGTGTTTCCATTTTCAATTTCTGGTATCTAAATGTTACAAACCTGACGGTGTCTACCCATGCATTCAAACACCATCGTCGATGGAGTGCAGAGGGAAAAAGTATAATATAGTACTAACGTCAATTCCATATCTTATTTCCGACATTCATCCATTTGGTTCTCGTCAAATACTTCTAGAAAATTAAACTTCTTTCATCTAGTCGACGCAGGGATCAAAAGGGGCTTGATCGGTTAGTATAAATGGTATCTTGAGGGTACTACCGCGTCGCCCATACACTACCGGTTGATAACAGTGGTTAATTATTATTTTGAGTTTTGCAGAGTCGAAGGAAAACGTGGCTTTGCGGTGTAGGATCTAAGAGATAAGTTCTGAGAGGGGAAGAACATTTCCGGGATCCGGGTGATTTGCGGGCTTGGGATGGAGGAGAAGGGTGGGCAGAGAAAGGGTGGGCAGAGAAAGGGTGGGCAGAGAAAGGGGAGGGGTTCTCAAAACTGGCCCAGTGCGTAGGGTTTTTCCATATTGCGCGATGAAGACTTGAAACTTAGTGGTGGTTGGCAGACTAAGAGACTAATTCCCTATTAGAAGGTAGATCGGCTATTCATGTGACGAATCGAAGCTTACGATCTTACGAGTAATGAGCAACGAGTGCGGAAATGGTACCACAGCGATGGGTTTGTAGCCACGATTAATGGGTGAGGCGGTGCTTGAGAGAGGATTGTTGGGTTTTACATTTTGACTACGGAGATTTTAAAACACATTGGATTACAGTGTAATAAGTATCTTCAATATCGACAGTGAGAACGAAATCAAACTTTACAACATTATCACCACGCACCGTAGAAATCTAACACTCACCCTAGCTGAGAAATCAACACAGTATCAATAATCAATGCAAATAAACTCATAATTATTAGTAAAGGCAACACCCGGAGCGGAATTAACAAGTAACTCTGTAAGGCTTTCCACATGGGAATTCTATCAACTATTTTAGTTTCCGACAATATCTGATCGCATCGACAATAATCCTTCTTACATTATCGACGATGGTTTCAGTGCTGGTGACTCGTTTGTTCATTATCATTATCGAGACTGAAAGAGTATGTATCTAAGCCTTAGAAGCTAGCTCCCATCTGTATAGCCTGAATTAGATAAGAGAAAGTATGATTCGAAGTCCTAACTTTTTTCCGCGAAAAAGAATTCTTGGAGAATATCCAGAACGAAAAAGTAATCACACTAGCAGCAATAAACAGGGAAAAAACAAATAGTATTTCGGTTTATCGAAAGGTCTAGAAGATACAAGTAATATCGGGCGGGCTGGGACTAGCAGCTGAAAATTTTGTTCCGCCTTCATCATCATGTTCCCTCTCAAAAGTACCGTAAAAGCCGAAGCGAAAGCCATCCGATCCGATCCGACTATGTCAAACCCCATTGCGAAGCCATCAAAAATGTCAAAAATTAAGACGAGTAATGGGTTGAAACTTTAAATGGCCAAGAGAGAAGGTAGGCCGAGTCAGGGGTCCTTCTTTCAAATTTTCTCTCACTTAGCGAGTACACTGTGTACCATCACCGAGAGCCCTATGGGCTATGGTTCACAAAGGACCAAGTCACTTGAACTTAACGCCTAGATCTTGGTACTCAGACTCTAGACACCAGATCTGTAATAGGATAACAAGGAGGAGCTTTGACTGAAATTAGAGGGTTTGTGCCGTTTAGTCTTTACAGTAGTGGTGTGTCTAGTAAGTAGTGTTATGGCAGAGCGAAATTGGTGACAGACAGAGATCGACAATATCAAATAATAGACACAGACCCAAGAACCAACACTAAGGATTGTGGCGTCGGCGGAAACGACGGGTAGAGTCAGCTACCTACATACTTCTAGTCATCTAGACATTTTGAGTAGATCTCATATAGATGAGTCGATAAAACGACAGGAGATGAAGAAATTTTTTACAAAACAGATACTACTCTTTTGGGAAATGAATGGCTTGGCCAGGAGAGTAAAGATGACGATGTGGCGTTTCTGGGGAAGATTTCAGGGACGCGTTAAAGAAGGATCGACTTCTGCTATCCGTCTTCTTCATCCTGGAAAGAATCTCTGTGTTGCAGCAAACCTGGATCAACTAACGAATTACAGCCAGTTCTTTTTATTTTCTTTTTCTTTTTCTCAAACTCGATAGATATAAACTAAGAACTTCGTAAATAAAGATCGACAAAAACCGCAATCATCGCTCTTTCAAGGAAAAACTTCCTACCGTTAATGTATGATCGACAAAAAAAATCGAAATTTGTGATTTAGACCCCCCGGTAGTGCTTTTACTGTGCAGCCCCGTATGAACCCTGCGGCTCATCTCAACTCGAGCGGAACTATCTCCACTCGACCAATCTTTTTGTTTCAGTATAGTATGGGGTAAAAAAAACACAGGGGTATAACTCGTCTGAAAGGATCGACCGATTGAGTGATTTTCCCTTTGATCCCACCTGCCGCAATATTGCAAGTGCGCTAGGCCTATGGATTCGGAACGGGACGGGCTCAAAGGGATGAGGTAGGAGGAGGATAAATGGTGCGACATAAAGACTTGTAGCAGGGCGAGCCGTTTAGTTTTGGAAGGTGCAGATCTCGGAGATTTGTATGGATACGGTGTGTGTCACGAACCCTCGGATATCGGATGGGCAAATGGAAGGTGGTGATGACGGAGCTGACTACCCATCAAGGTAATTTTGAAGATATTTAGAGATGACACTTGGGAGTACCGGGAACGGGGTGGAGAACGGTACCTAGATAGTTCGAGGAGGCGGATATGCAGAGACGGGGTTGCATACCCCTTTGGGTAATTCCGAAGATCCTAGGGAGGTTGGTCGAGATCTGTGTTTTATGAACAAGAGATCTAAGGAGCTTGGATCGTGAGTTATGAGAGATGTTTCATGAACCTCCGGTGCTAAGAGGGTTGGTAAATATCTCATCTTTTGTCTATCTACCTACCGAGTCTATCTACCTAGTATGTGGTACCTACCGAGGAATGTACCGATATGACTTCACTGGTGTGGCGAACGGTAGTTCTAATTCTCTCAAGGTTTACAAAGAGGTGCAAAGAGACGCAAAGAGGTGCGGAAACGGGGCTGATTGCTTCTTTAGGCAATATTGAGATACACGAGCACTTTGTATCGTGATCATGTACTAGACGGCCAGACCGAGACAGACCTCACCATGGGGTTCCCAACGCGGTATGGTGATGTAAGACGGCCATGCATGGAGTTCTAAACACAGCATGGTAATGTAAGATTACCATGCGTGGAGTTCCAGACAAACAAAACATGGTAAATGTAAGATTACCATGCGTGGAGTTCCAGACAAACAAAACATGGTGAATGCAAGATTACAACGCGGCTGATTGGATATTCAATGATTGGTGAATATATCCGCCAGTCAATTCTGATTGGATTTTAGGATATCTACGTTTCAAAAAGCCTCTGGGTCTAGAGGGTGGGTGTTATAGTTAACATTTTACTCCCTTGTTATATCACCTGTCTAATATTGTTGATACCGTTGATAATGGTGTTGATAATGATGTAATTATATTGATACCGGCACCCTCCCACTGGGCGTATCTTACATCTCGCTGTACATCAACAAAGGCGTCACCAAAATGCGGGACCGACGGGGTGTGTAGATCATTGTACTTCTACCTTCATCCACATCTAGACCATCTTCGAAATAAATGATTCATCTACGGAGTCCAATGAAGACTGACGAAAGACAAATGTGATAAGAATAGAACGAATCACATGGTTTAACTCACCAGGTATAGTAAGTACCAAGATAAGTGCTTGTGAGAACTGGGGTATACGGTTAGAAGATGAGATTGTGGATACTACAACACACACAGCACATCAAGTGTATGCGCCGAGGTGGATATCAGTCCTACACATACATCTATGGTGTTATCTTATTTATGGAGTCGATTTCTCCACGCGTGCGTCGATGTTTCTGGTTATTTGCTTTTGCTTCTGTGCTTGGGTGGATCGCTCTTGGTATTTCTGCCTCCTGTACAATGGACACTGTACGGATGACAGTCTGTGTTCCGAGATCTCAGATATGGATCTTGCATGAAATGACTACGGAGATAGCTCCGTTCATGTGTATCAAACACGGGTTTGTGTGGATATCGATCTAGATATGGATCTATCAAGAGACAGCTGAAGTCTGTGTGTGCAGTATGTATGAAGCTTGGATACCTACTAGGTATCTGTCTTTCGACGAGGTATCCAAATATGAATATTTTCATCGATATCAGACGAAATTACATGGTTGTATAGTAACTTCGTTTGCTTTACATGGTACTTATATTCATATCAATTTCATCATACATTTCGAAAGATGGGGTATACGTCTAGTAGTATGAGATGAGCCCTGCCATTATTGAAATGGGAGGTAAGCTTTCTTTTGAATCAAACACTCATCCCCACCCTACTTGGTCGGCGATCAGAAAGTAGAATATTCTGTTATTGTTTGAGAAATGTTAGTTAGTTTGAGTTTTTTATTTTGACATATATTTCGACGTATTGATATATATTTTTGTATACTAGGTATATTTCTCTAGCTATCTAGCTGTCTAGTCTTAAAGATGAAGTATTTCTGCATTGGTCTCGTATACTAGTATATCAATAAAATCACCAACAGATAGATGACTATGGGTACAATCTATCACTATCTGGTCCTCATTATTTCAGAATATAGTGGATACCCGTTTTAAAATCCAAAAGATTAAAAAAGAGCATTTCATACGACGATATAACATAAATCTCAAGACCTAGCTGGATGCAAGACAAGTAACCCCAGGAGAAATCCCCCTCCCCCTCCTGCTACCACCAATCTTCACTTATCTACTTGAGTTCTTGTATCCTTATATGATACAAGGTTGAACCATCTATAATTTTATCTGTATCTGTGTCTATGAATCCATAACCACCTCCTGTCTACCAGATCTAGTCCCTTGACTTCATCTCCATCCACCTCAAACTCTTATCTCCCCTATACATACATATGTTCCTTCAAATCCCGTCACCCGCCTCTTTTCGGGATATACGTTCCTTACCTTCTCAATATATATTACATCATTAAAGAATTTCACCCCTCCTTTACATATCCTACCATCTCGAGATATATACACCATTCAACCATTCCACTCTTTCTTGATAATACTACTATCTCAACATCACACTATAACAAGAATCACAATTCCTTCTATCTCCTCTACTACTTGATTGTTTATTCATTACTCCCCTTCCTCAAAACCATATCCATTTCTATCTGTTCTTCCTCCTTGGACATCTATCCATCTTACATCCATCCACCGCCTATCCACTCTCATTCTATCCCCCATCCCAACACTCTCACTCTATATCACATTATATCATCCCTCCATCCCTCCATCCCACTATCTCTAATCTTTCATACCATCACCCCTTCCTTCAAACCCCTTTAAAAACACCTCCTCCAAAAACACCCCTTCTTCCTTTCCTTCTTTATTAAATACCTATCTATATCCCTATACATTCTATCATTTCTCCTCTTAACTATCTCGCTTCATTGTTTAATCATTTATTCTTTCGCAATATATTATCTTCTCATTTATTCTACTTCATTATTCAATTCCCTTTATTCAGCTATCTCTCCCCTCTTTCAAACATAATATCCTCTCATTCATTCTACTATTCCTTTCTTTATTTTATTGTCCATCTCACCATCTAATTATCTCCTCTCTCTTCTCTCTAAACATAATACCTCATCATCTACTCTTCTATTCATTCCTTTCTCTTCTCTTCTCTTCTCTATATAAACCGTACATAGTTACTAATTACAAGATGTATAAAATATAATTCAATCATTTTAATTTAATATTTCTAATATATACATTAATTATTTCGATATATTCTACGTTCTTATATCCTTATATCCTGATACTTATTCCTTCTAATTTTCTTTAATTATTTGATATTTTTATTTTGTATAAGATATAAATCATTAAGTAGGTATTCACAAGATACTCATAAATTATATATTATATATTAGAACAAAAGTATAGATAAAGAGAGATATAATTAGTAAATTAAGGAATATAGATAAAAACATAAATAGAGAGATAAATAGATATATATATATATATCATACATGCGCATATCATATATACACTTCAAATCTATACAATAAATACTAGATAAAACACACATATTCTTCCCAATATTCTATTTCTCCTCTATTCCTCTATTCCACCTTTCACTTTCCCCCTTCTCTACCTCCACTCTTCCTCCTCCCCTCTTCCTCCTCCACTCTTCCTCCTCCCCTCTTCCTCTCAGTCCTTCTGGATTCCCGCCTTTCATTTTCTCCCCAAACTTTTCCCTTCCCTCACTTTATTTCTTCTCTTTCTCCTCTCTTCTTCCTCTTCCTTTACCCCTCTCATTCTTTCTGCCTTTTTTTCATATCGCCTTCTTCATTCGCATTTATTTTCCTCCACTTTTTCCAGCTCTCTTTTACTGCGTCCCTCATCCCCGTCCCCTATCTCTACCCCTCATTTCCTACCCCCCAAAAATTCCCCAAATACCACCCTCTATCTCTCTATAGATAGCATAACATACCAGCCCACTTCAATCTTCCCACACCACACCATACCCTCTCCAATCTTCCCATACCAGCTTCAATCTTCTCATACCAGCCAGCCAGCTTCAATCTCCTCACACTATCTCACTCACTCACTCACTTCCCTCCTAACTCTCACTCACTTCCCTCCCAACTCTCACTCACTTACTCCATTTACTCACTCCCCTTATAACTCCATCTCACTCACTCACTCCCCTTATAACTCTCTCTTCCTCATTCCCCTCATAATTTCCAAAATACAAAGATATAGAGATATAGAGATATAGAGACCCATTACTTCCAAGATTTAAGATCTAAGATCTAATACATCCATGAATGAGTTGAAGGGTTATTTACCTACCTACCTATCTATCTAGATACTTGTTGATATATACTATGTAATAGTGGTATGATATGTGAGATGATATGAGATGGTATCGTTGATAATAGTCATAATTGTGATAATGAGAGGTGAGTTTCCAAGTATATATATATATATACATACATATACTAGATGTATATACACATCAACGAATCTCAAAGTAGGAATAAATCACATTGTATAGAATCAAGGATAAGCAATATGAGATATTCATATGTTCGATTTTAAGAATATTTATTGTTATATCAACATAATTGGAAGAAATAGGTTGATTGCCCATTGGATCCCTTTCACTTCTCTGCCAAATAGCTTTTCCAGTCATGGAATCACATACTATCCACATTCAACCTCCTACATAATCACCATACCACTAGCAATCCAGAAGCCATCCTCACAATTCATGACCATTACTATGCGGGGCTTCATGACCATGTTTTAAAAACCTTTGAGCATTTCCATTTCCATTTCCATTCCCATCAATTGAATCATCTACAACTCGTTGTGCTCCTGTCCATCACCATCAGAATCAGCAAGAGCCGTCTTGACCGCCTCTGCGGCTTCGGAAATGGCACTTTTCACACCTCCTGTTGCTGCTTCGGTAGCTTTTTCGGTAGCTTTATCCGAAAGTGATGATGCGCTATCGGTGGCGCTATCGACTTTATCGGATGAGGAGGAGGTCTTTTCAATAATAGTTTCGGGTTTGGGGACACCGTCAATTCCCATGAGTTCGGTTTCGAAGACTAGTGGGGAGGAAATATTAGTTTTGTAAATTTGGTAATTGGGAATGTAGATAGAGGGATAAGGGTAGAGTGATTCAATAAAAGGTATTTTGTGAAGGGGATATCTGATATGAGAATAAGAATTTACTTACTCAATGTACTCTTGGCTGGAATTGGACCCATAGCTCTGTCACCATAACCAAACTCGGGAGGAATGGTAAGAACTCTCTTTTCACCAATACACATATCGAGAAGATTATCATCCCATCTACAAGATCAAAATTAGTATTTCCATCCATATCCTTCTAATAGCCATGACTCTCAGTAAGTAAAAAGTACATACCCTTTAATCACACTACCCTTTCCGACGACAAAACTCAAGGGAGATCCACGGTTGTAGGAAGCATCGAATTCTTTTCCAACCTTTCCATCTTCCTCAAGATTTCCTCGATAATGAACATGAATATTATCACCCTTTTGAGTCTTGCGCTCACATTCGACAGCTCTGGTTACATCAATCTTCACTTCGGCCGCGAGGACCGAGGAAGTGAGAGCAAGGAGGGAAATTGTTGAGAGACGCATATTGAAGGTGTTGTTGTATTGACAATTGATTAATTGATCAATTGATTGTGGATGGATTGAATTGAAATTTATGAAGGTATATTTGATTGAACAACAAAGAAGTATTGGACACGTTGAGGGTTAGGGATGTGAATGGGTGAATTTGGGGTGTAGCCTTGTCCCGCATGAAGCTCTCTCGGCTCAAGTGTGTGAGAGCCAATCAAAATGGATCAATGATGGATGACTAATGATGGATGAGTACATACAATCCCATTCGTACCTATCGATACAGAAATCACATGAGGATCCTCTCACACCACCACACTTATGGGATTTCTTTGAATTTTGGTCTTCCCCTCCCTCCATCTTTTTCTTCCCTTGAACAACATCATCGTTATTGTTACCTCGACTTCTCTTCACGATGAGATGGTTCGATTATTGATTTGTTTGTTTGCTTGTATGTTTGTTAATTTCCCACGAGAATTCCTACTATGATGTTCACCGAAAAGATACGAAAAGATACTCGACGCTCTTCACACCTCAACTCTTTATGCCTTGGTATATACGAGTACCTAGCTATATAGTATACCACATCTCATCACGAGTTATCCATCCATACCCAGGTACATATATACATATCCTTACACCGAGATTGAGACGGCAATGCCGATGCTATTCGTATGCGTAATTCGTTCAACCGTCAGACCGCCAGTCAACAGTCATACCAGAACCCCCAGACTCAATATTTGACTCATCGTCTTATCGATATCAAACGAAATACCTGGGTACCTAGGCAAAAGGGCAAAAACAAACCAAGAAACCTCACCTGTCACCTCAGCTGAAAACATGGAAGCCTCGAAAACAATCAACCCGAATTCATTCAAGGCAACAATAATCAATAATCAATCATCAATCATCATTCACGTCACCTTCTTGGAACCGTTTTCCCCATCTTCTCGTATCATATCGTATCATATGTACCGTTCTACCATCCAGAACTTTCCGCAAATTTCCATCCCTCTTGTTTGTCTTTCCTGCCTGTTTCAAAAAATGCCCGATGGAAAGCCACAAGGGAAAATGAGGGAGGGGCCCGAAGGAAAACGGATGGCTGTGCTCTCTCGTACTTCCAAGCTTCACCAGTGCCTCCACATGCTTTCTACCTTCTTTCTACATTCGATCAATTCTTCTGGGCTGTGTCAAACAAAGCAATGCATCATAGGAAATACCCCATTTCCACTTCCCGATCATCATGACTGCTCCGCCGACGGGGAGCCTTGAGCTTATTTCCTTTCATTTCCCTTTTCACTGTATTCCATATCCGAGCTTCAAGGCCGACGTCACCATCTAACCTCGATTCCTCTCATGGTACTTGGATGAAACTATTCACCGAACTGTCATTGTCCATTAGCTTGGTGACTCATTGGATTGAAATGTCCATTTTGAGTCAAATACCTCATTTAAAGGCAGCCACCCATTGGGTAGATGGTTCAAACTGTCTCCGTCCTCAACAGGTAGAGTGGGCAATGTCCTTGTTGGGCTTCTCTGTCAATGATTTTGCCTTCTTTTGGAAAGCTGCTGTGTACAACAGGTAACAATTGAATGATTTCATTAGTCAATTTCTCTGTTTCTCTTGCACCTATATAATAAGTATGATGTTTCTCTTTTTGTTTGCTTTTTCATTTGGTCAAGATTAACTATTAGTTTGATTATACGGAATTTGAAACAATACTACAATACTCCATTTTACGCCCTATACACCTCATACGCCCCATACGCCCTTCTACGATACAACAAAATCAAACTTTCGCCTCGCACATCAAGTACATAAAGATTCCGAAAGTACCTATCCGAAGAACCTCAAATGTCATACACTGACTCTCGTGGATACACATACACACAAAGAACTACCATCATACATCATCGGGAATCTTCCCCAAGAGATTCGCAACACTCGTACGAAACTCGTTCATCTGATTATTACACCGGATCAAACTCAAATATGTCAGGACGTTCTTCAAGCAGTGGACAAGGTTATGGATCTAGAGGAAGTGGTGGAGAACAAAGTGTGAAATATAGAGATTCTGCTGCAGGTATGTAGATATCTTATCCATTTTTCTCTCATTATATACAACATGTAACTAACATATTTCTCCCAATTTAGATAAGAAATATATTGAAGGAAAAACATCAAGAAGTGGACACAACCATGTCATCAATCATGGAGATAGTCATAAACACTATGATCCTGCAGAACCGAGGGCAGGTGAAGGCAGAGAGAGTGATTATAATTCAGCACGTTATGAGAGACATGAAAGAGAGAAATTGCGAACATCGGTATCTCGTCGTTGAGTAGAATAAGGTGCATAAGTGGCGATTTGGAGTGAGGCGGAAAAATGAGGCTAAGCGACGCCACAGTGAAGGCTACAAGGCGGATTATTTTAGGGGGTGTCGGGTTGGTAAGATGATGTGGGGGTTCCATTATGGTTTGTACCTTTGGTATTGATGGGGATACTGTTTCTTCAATTGGTATGTGTATGGATATGGGAATAGGCATAGATGGCGTTGAGAGAGATTTGAATGGATATAGTTCTTGGTTGGGATTGCGGGGTATTTGTAGGAGTTTGGGGTGGGATATATGGGATGGGATAAGATGGTTTACACTCAAGTAGTTGTTTATTTAGGGATGGAATGGAGAATCGGAGGACAGAGATGTTTATCTATTGGGCATATCAACAATTATAATAAGTCTACATCATCTGATTTGTGTTATGTGCATCCTTTTGTGTTGGAAAACAACTGGCATGTTCACATGATGATATCTGGATAAAAAAATATCATGCATGCTTATGATCAGAATCATACAAAGCATATCTACTGGTAGCTACACCAAACCGGGTATGGACATTGATCGAATGGTTCATGCTATGCTATGCCAGGTTGTGATATATTGCGTTATGTTGTGCTATGTTATGTTGTGTGTGTATATATGTATATGTATATGTGTATGTGTATGTGTATGTGTTTTTTCAGGCTAACTGAGGTTATGTAATTCTGAGTAATTCTGGGTAATTCTGGGTGTTTAGGTTTGATTTGACAGGAGTTGGAATTGGAATTGGATTTGGAATTGGAATTGTATATGTATAAGTGTGAGTATAAATATGAGTATAAATATGAGTGTAAGTATGAGTGTAAGTATAAATGTAAGGCAATGAGGAAGCAGATCGCTTAGCAAACGCAGGCGCAATTGGGCCTATGGACCAGACAATCGATAAGCTACCAACAATCAGTGGGGTCCGAACGATCGTTCGTCAGAAGTGTTTATATGCAGAATCTATTTGGTAGGAAGAAATGAACTTCTTTCTTTTCACTAGCTATAAGAAATAGTCTTCTAGATATAGTATAAAGGAGCTAAAGGAACTAATTCTATCAAGAATAGTTTTTATATCAATTAATAGTTATAAAAACAAATCATAGCGATTACACTGCTTACTATCAGCGATTTGATTATCAAAACAACAAGCTGGATTGTTTATACAATAATATTAAGAAATTATATCACTTTTTTAAATACACTATAAACAATCTAAAGTATTCAGACTAGCCCTTTACCCCTATAGAAATACAATCTAACAAATAGGCAATCATATATATCAAGAAACTCTTATATATACCTAGCAAACTCACTCAGCTAATCACTAATTTAGAATTCTATACTCAGATTTATTCTAATTACTAAAGAACCTTTAAAAAACAATAATCTTTTCAACAAAGCTTACTACCTATCCCTTATAAACTCATCACTCAACTAATTATTCAAATATATTATACCTCTAAAAACCACAAACTCAATATATAACACAAAAGCCCTACTATTTGACTAAACAAATAACAACTCATTTTCGTTTCTTCTTCTCTACTATAGAAATCGAAGTCTACAATAAGCCTATTCATTCGAAAACCAAGCTTTACCTCAATAACAATCCGAATCAAATATTTCCTTTTAGAAACAAAAGCGGATCGTATCCGCAAAGAAGCGAATAGCCTCTAGTATTGAAGTTAAATTGCTAAATTCGGTTGTGACGATTATGCTGTTCAAATAGTTCCTTATCTTAGTATATTTAAATACCCTTAGGGAGGTTCAAAAACAGATGTTAATTAATATAAATAAATAAATAAAATAAGTATAAATGTAAATATGAATATAAATATGAATATAATATAAGTATAATATAAGTATAAATATAAGTATAAATATAAGTATAAATATAAGTATAAATATAAGTATAAATATAAGTATAAATATAAGTATAAATATAAATATAAATATAAATATAAATATAAATATAAATATAAATATAAATATAATATAAATATAAATATAAATATAAATATAAATATAAATATAAATATAAATATAAATATAAATATAAATATAAATATAAATATAAATATAAATATAAATATAAGTGTGAGTATAAATGTGAGTATAAATGTGAGTGTGAGTGTTTAGTTTGTGTGATAAGGATGCGGATGTATCTCAAGCTAGTTGTGGGGTATAAAGCTAGTTGTGTAAAGGGACTGGGACTGGGACTGCAACTGGAGATTTGTAGGGGAGGGGAGGACAAGAAAATGGGTTCGTGGGTTGATTTGTGTGATGGAATTTGTGGGATGTAGGGAGATGGGGATAGGGAAGGGGAAAGGAAAGGAAAGGGGAATGGTGTGAGTGTAGGTGTACGGCATACTTGGTAGATTTTACGGGAGAGGGGGAATAGTGTGGGTGAAGAAGGGATGAAAGCTAAGGATGGGCATGTAATTGAATGTTATTAAACGGGTGTGTGTAGGTATGCGTAAGTGATGATGTATATATAAGTGAACATGAATATTGAATTGGAAATTGTAAGGAATTTGATAATATAGGAATACTTTCCATGCTTGCGATACCTAAATTTAAGAAAGAAAGAAAAGCGGAGCACCAGCGTAAGTTTAAAAATGCCAAAATGAAGGGAAGGATATAATGAATG